AACTTTTTTCCGCCACTTTAGTATGTGTGCTCATAATATGAGATCTAATCATCAAAGTATAAAGAAGAAATCGAAAAAAATAAATGTGTATATAGGTTTTTGGGACGCTTTGTAGTGAAAGAGCGTTGTCGACCTTGAAATTCGTGAATATTGAAAAGGTTAACAGAAACTTTTTCAAATAATTTTATCAATATAGTGTTTCGTAACAATCCATGAAATACAATATTTACGATCATATTATTTTTTTAATCTCTGTCATATGAGTTTCGGAATTTTATCATTATAAAGAACAAAATTTCGATGCTTCTCTTAAAATATGAATAACTGTTTCTTCTTCGATGGATTTTTTTATTGTATCAAATATCGAAAAAAAAACAATTAATTCATCATCTGTACTTTAAAAGAATACGCTGCCATGTAAGTCTAGATGGTTCTTGTCTTATATTTTTATTTTTAACGAAAAACTCACCTCTTTCGATTTTTTAAAATTGTGTTCCTTTGTAATCTAATACTCTCTTTATATTCATTAAAATTTATGATATTTGTTTCTATCTCTCTAAAATCAATAATACCAATTTAGCAATGATACTATAAAAGGTCCAGAAAAAAATATTTATTATTTGCATCCAGTTCTTGTTTTTTGAGAAGGAAAATGCAAGTCGGTTTCTTGATTTCAATATTCGCATGCTTTTTGATAATTGATACTCATGGAACGAAAGATCCTAATACAGCACCGAATCGTCATACAGCTGTTCATTTGTTCGAATGGAAATGGAAAGACATAGCCAATGAATGCGAACGATTTCTTGGACCTTATGGATATGCAGCCATTCAAGTAAATCTTATCAGAAGAAATCTTATTTTTATGCAAAATAATTCTCTTTGAATAGGTTTCACCACCTAATGAACATTCACTTGTTGATGGTCGTCCATGGTGGCAACGTTATCAACCAGTAAGTTATAAATTGCAGTCAAGAAGTGGTTCTGAAACTGAATTTATTGATATGGTTCATCGATGTAATAATGCTGGCGTTCAGTAAGATCACTAAAAAAGAAATTTTTCGATTGATTTATTGTTCTATTGTTTTTTTTCAAACAGTATCTACGTTGATGCTATAATTAACCATATGGCAGCAGCTGGAAATAGAGGATCTGCTGGTTAGAAAATGAAAATAACTTCTGTTTTAGATAATTAAATAAAATTTGATTTTCAGGGTCATCATTTAATTCGGGGTCAAAGATTATCCTAGTGTACCGTATAGTGCTTGGGGTAAGATAGTCTTACTGCAATTAGTTTTTTATTATAAACAAAAGCATGATTTCGGTAATAGATTTTGCCGATTCATTATGTAAAACTGGCAGTGGAAGTATTGAAAATTATAATGATGCTGATCAGGTGGAATAATATTACTTCAGTTGATTGGTTTTTCAACTGTAGTTGTTTTCTTGTCTATATAGGTTAGAAATTGTAAATTGAGTGGTATGCCTGATTTATTACTATCAAAAGATTATGTTGTGAACAAAATTGCTGAATATATGAATCGTTTAATTGAAATCGGTGTTGCTGGTTTTCGTATCGATGCTGCTAAACATATGTGGCCAAATGATTTAAATAAATTGATTGGAAAATTAAATAATTTACCATCACAGTAAATTGAAGGATTACTATTTTTGTTTATATTATTTGTTTTGTTTTTAGTATATTTGGACAAAATAAACGACCATTTATTTATTTTGAAGTTATTGATCTTGGTGGTGAACCAATTAAAAATACAGATTACACGTGGATAGGTCGTGTATCTGAATTTCGTTACGGAAAATACTTAAGCGAAGTTGTACGAAAGAAATTCGGACAAAAACTTAAATATTTAAATAATTTTGGAACTGGTAGGATTGATCTATTACGTTATCAAACTCTGACATACTTACGATAGGTTGGGGCATGATTCCCGATGGTGATGCACAAATTATGATTGACAATCACGATAATCAACGTGGCCATGGTTAAATGAATATAGTTTTACCTATTTTTTTTATTAAAAAAAAAATAATTTTTTCCTTTCTTTATGTATAGGTGCTGGGGGTGAAATTTTGACGTTCTTTGATAGCCGTCTCTACAAAATTGGCACCGCATTTATGCTCGCTTGGCCTTACGGTGCGTATTTATCTATTTCTTTTTCGAAATAAAACCATTAGTATTCTTCTAGGATATCCTGTAATCATGTCCAGTTATTATTTCGAACGTAATAACGATTTTCAAGGTCCACCATCAGATGGTAACGGAAATACTAATGATGTTGTTATCAATGCGTGAGTCAATCTATGAATTAATTAAATATCGTCAGTTATTCTCTTTCTTTTGGTTTAAATTTAGTGATCTGTCTTGTGGTGGTGGATGGATATGTGAACATCGCTGGCGCCAAATTTATAATATGGTCCGTTTTCGTAATACTGCAGCATTTCAACCAGTTCAAAATTGGTGGGATAATGGTAATAATCAAATCGCTTTTTCACGTGGTAATAAAGGTAAGACGAAAACATAAAGATATTCATTTAATTTCTGTAATTTTTTCCTTTGATTAAAATGAAAATTCAATTGTTTTTATTAGCTTTTATTGCTATTAATAATGATGACTATGGTCTTGATCAATGGTTACAAACAGGTTTACCACAAGGTCAATATTGTGATGTTATTTCAGGCAATCTTGAACAAGGCCGATGTACAGGCAAAGTCATTACTGTTCAAGGTGACGGACGAACAAAAGTAACAATATCTAATATTGAAGAAGATCCGATGATTGCTATTCATGTCGATGCTAAACTTTAAAATGAAAATCCTATAACTTGTCCGACTCTATCAAAGTGTTGTGATTTTTATTTACCGAGTATTGACTAGTAAAAACATTTAATAAAAACTAAAAAAGAAAGAAAATAAGACAATATATTCATCTTCATGCTTTAATTCAATAAATCATATCATCTAAGAAAAATATAATGTATGAATTATTGTTGATGTGTTTATTTATTTTCATCCTCGAAAACTTCGAGATATATAAATGAAAATTTATCTTGATGATTTAATCTGATTGCGATACCTTCATGTTGGTCATCATCTTAAGTATAACGATTTATAATAAGGGGTACTACTTTAGTTTGTAGTAAGAGTATTGATCATAAAAAAAAGTGTAAAGAAGATTTTTCTTACTGAATCCATTCATTTTATTTTAAGAAAGAATGACTTATTTGAGACAACAGTTTTGATAATGATGAGTCGGACTATCAGTTTTAAATGGTTCTTGACTAGCACTACTTTAATGATTTTCTACTCTACTGATTATTAAACACTTATATTGATAACAAAAATAATATTTCCATACAAATTTTAACTAACCTTTAGTTTTGTGTCGTTGAAAAATGAATAGTTGCTCGTTATGCAAACTTGTATGAGATATCTAAGCGAAATCACGAAACCTAACCACAATATACATGAATTACTTGCGAGAAAATGATCGTTATCATAATCTGATGTGTATTTCCTGTTCTGGCAGTTGGCAATCTCACGATTTCAACTAAGCGACATATTCTCATAAAAAGTAATACCCATACTCTTTGTTTGTCTGAATCTTTCATAGTTTTCTACTGTAACGATGATTACAAATCATGCATAAACTACATGAGAAAAATGGCAACAAATACAAGGATTCTTATTTCAGCGTCAACAGACTCTTTCATATCTGCATTATGAAATGGTAATTTAGCCAAAGCTAATCAAGATACAGACACACAATAGTAAAGTTAGAAGTAACTTCTAACTGTTGTCAAAAGCAAGATCAGATCGACGTATGTCACTGTCATGATGTTTCTACTGATGCATATTTGTATAGTCATCTGATGATACTTTATCGTCTTAATCAGTAAACTTTTGAAAGCTAGTTTTTATCTTAACATCCAAAAGTTATCAGTTTATCTTAGCTTTTAACTTTTTTAAATTGTTAGCTAGAACTCACTTTCAATTTCTCAAACAAGTAGTTGGTTATTCTAACTAGCGACCAGAAAAAAATGTTTGAAGCTGAAAGTAAGTCTTTCATTACTCAATTAGTAATTAGAATCGGAGTCTTGTGGAACGACTTTTTTGTCGTTCCATCTCACCTCATTCTGCCACACGAATGCAACCCTAGCACGAAGTAGAATTCAATAAAAAAATCAAGACTATTGATACTTTCATCGTCTTCAATATGAATCATTTATGTATTAATCATCTGCTTCAAAATAATATGTACATAGTAACATTTATCACAAAAAGAATGAATAACTCAATAAGAAGTACAACAATTAATAAGGATCATCGATTGACAGATCTGAGCAAAAGTATATTGTTGAGAATTTGCGAGTCACTTGAAGATCAAGGTTTCGACACAACGAGCTCATCTCCACTTAATCCACACTTCACTGATACTATTATTGCAGGAATGTAACGAATCGTTCGGACCGATGTCGACAACATTTGCAAGTTGTTCTGAACTACCTTCCACAATACTGAAAGGTTATTGATCATCAGTTTAGCATCGTTACGTATTAAGTACATAGACGTGGATATGGATATGGATCTAGATCTTCTCCTGAATCAAATCCACACTCACGCTACCACTTATTTTCTGAACAATGAGATTATCGTACCGTTCAAGATATAAATATCGAAGTTTAGACTTTACTAATAATTCTAATAATTTCCATACTCACTATAATTACATACATATATATCACATTGCTATTCGTTCGAAAAAATTAAAATATAGCATGCAGTTCGACTATTCGTTGCTCTTCGAAACTGTCATCTTTACTCATTGTGCAAACTAAAGATAGAATATTTTATAGTACAAAAAAACAACGTCAACATTGCTTTGGTCGTTCATATTGAATTATTTAGCATGTTAAAAGTACTAAGGTTGTAGCGCATTGTACAGAAACATAAAAAGATAGTGAAGAGAGAAAAATAATTTGTTTCTTTTTGTTGCTGTCAGACAATGCGACCCTTTTCTTGTTCTTGGATGTCAGAAATAGACAATATCAGCAATTTATAAGTCTAGATTTGAACAAAGAGTCAATAGTTTAAAAGGAAATCCAACATTGTCAACTCAGCAATGTTTCTTGTTGGGTTGTATCTTTACAGCTGGAATACATCATCACAAACGATTCAAGGAGTAACAACAGGAGAAAAACTAATTAAAACGGAAGTTAGATGGTGTCACTGTGAGAATGCCGTTATGTGGATAGAAGTATAGTGAGAAACTGAACTATGAAAAAAGCTTGGTGCGATACACTTTTATTCTACATCGTATCACTCGGTGACAACTAGATAAGTCAGAATAAGCTATTACCTTGATGCTAGCCTCTGATCAGCAACAATTCAGTGTTACATTCACTCGAGATTCTGAACATCTCATTAAATGAAAACAATCTTTATCCACATTAATTGACTACTCAAAAGAAAATATTTTACGTCAACAGAAAAAATACAAAAAGTGATATGATAGATATCAAATGAATCTCACGCACAAAACTAATGATTGAGTATCAATAGAAGTACTCAACTAACGCAAAACATTTGATATTCGATACAAAGAAGTCTTTCGAATTACATAATAAATCAGGACAAAAATGTTTATTTTCAAATATAAAAGAAGCATACATTAACATGACAAGTTCCAATAGATGTCATTATACTTTTGTTTGAACGAAGAAGCATGGATTATATATATACATATATATTGAATTAGTAGCCTGAACTAAAATATATTCAATTTCTAGTTATCAATACTGAATGTGTATATATAATTTATTTATATTTTTTGTCTTTCCTGTCCTTTGACTGTTCGTATTTGTTTCCTTTCATATGCCTTGTATCATTCTGTACATCGAAAGAAAACATCGATATCTTCTCTTAACATTCCAGTTCACTTTTATTCTGTTCCTCCACCACTTCCCAACCTTTGTTTTATATATTTCATCTTTGTATAACATAAGATATAAAAAAATACGTATGTATGTATAAAGCCAAAAATGTAACTTTTATTTTATTGCTTTTCGTTTGTTTATTTATGAACAACACGAAGACGTAAACTTTCCCAAAAAAAAGTTCAAGTTCAATGCATTTCAAAGATTACCACATTCCACCATTTGAGCGATTATTAAGAAGATATTGCCGATAAAATGGAATTTGAAAACGTATATTTCAACGACTATGTGGAGAAGGAGATTTAACACTATTCCAGCAACCACAAAATTAAGTGTTATTTTATTGATAACAAACAGATGTTTATAACGAATACATTAATCAATTAAGCAAAACTAGCAAATCATTTTTGTGTGAACACAGAAGATGACGCCTTATCATATAAACCTAGAACAATACAGGTTAAAATTTATTCGTTTAAAGCTACCATGTGTTATGATCATCAGTGAAGTTCGACGTTTACAATCAATGAAATTTCGATAATTTCAAAGAATACAATAACTATGTCCAATCATATTTACATCAAATAATTATGCTTATTTGCAGAGTTCAGCATTAAAAGTTTGAAAAGTGCAATTTTTATTTGATTCATTTAGTAAAAAAATTTAACTTAAAGATTACGACCTACAACAAGGATATTTTCTTAATCGGAAACAATTATCAAAAAGGCAATTAACTTTGAACTCAAACAACATTTCAATAAAAAAAGACAGTATCAGCAGAATGGGGATGTGGTATTGGTCTTGTTTTGAGTTCATACATCGCAGAGCACGTTGGTGACCCTAAACGTACATGTCATATAACAAGAAGAAAAGAGAAAGCGATGATTGTTAAAAGCACAGGCAATTAATGATGTTTTTGCTGTTACAAAATTATGTTATAAAATGAATTTAATAAACATATTATAATAATAACACCAACAATAATCGAATATGAGAAATATCTGATAAGGAAGACTTGAGTGTGAAGTGGATGTGGATGTGGATGTGTATATTTCCTTTCTTCAAACTCTTCACTCAATAGCCATTGTCAAAAACATTAACATTCATTCGTTCAATTCAGATACGTATCTATGCAGTGAAAATCGTGAAATAAAGTCGAAAAAGATACTGACCAGATTTACTTTATTGATTGAAGAAAAAGAAAAAGATAGTCATGTATTTGCTATTTTTATAGTTCGTTGTTTTTAGCTATATATTCAAATAGAATGTTTCGGTACTAATCCTATTGGACGTTCTCACTCTCGCTAGTTTTCTCTCTACATCTTCCTTTTTGAAGTTTTTCACCTCACCCTTCTTTCTATCATTTGATAAGAAAATATTTTCATGAAGTACTACGTATTATGAACTTGTGTACTTCATCTTAGTTTCAATGAGAAAGAGATTTTGTACCTTTAGAAATGTTCGACATGTAATTCAATAATGCTAAAAATTATTTTGTACTTCAACAGCGCAGATGGACAGCACTCTCTATGTCAACGTCAACACTAATTTTCGTCGTAGGAAGTTATTCGTGTATTCGGTCTAAGGAAAAAGATCTGTCACTTTCTTTCAAAGCCCTAAATTCTTCAAGATTACTTTTAATTGCTTCGTAAAGTGCGAAAATTTCGACAGCATCATCTTAATGAGATTAGTTGATAAAATGACTTTCTCGGAAAAAAATTATAATATGGAAGTGATCAGCATATTACAGTACTTAAACGACAATGAGGCTATCATTCCTTTTGATTTGACATAGTAATATGAATGTATGCTTGATGGTATCAACTATTATCGTTTCTACTGAATTTAGGAAGATTCGTTCTCGTTGATGAG